AAAAAAGTTATTATCGAAGACGATTTACGTGGTCCAAATTTATCCGATATCATACAGACAAAAAATATTCCGATCAATTGATAACCTTCCTCCTTTTTTGAATTCGGCTAAAATTAAAAATATGTATGTGGCAACCCTAATATTTAACATCTTGCGATAGAAAGAGTGACATCAAAAGTTATCCTTTTGGTAAAGACTCTCCTTATTAGCATACATTTTTTTAGTTTTAGCGAATTAAATAATTTCTTACTGCTTGAATGTATGTATGTAGGCACCCTTTTTAATATTGATATTTAAATTTTTTGTTTTGTGCTTGTTTTCCTATAGATACTACATTCACGAAATCTTTCGAATTCCAGCAGGATTTCCCATATATTTTCCTGATTTCGATTTCTTGGAATTCAATCAGATTTCAAAGAAGTCGAACGAAAAAAGTATACTCGGAAGTAATAATTGAATCAAGTAAATGTATAAATGATACAAAACATCGGCCTGATATTTGAACCACGTTTTTGCGAATATTTAAGTGGCTTATTAGTTGTAGAGCGGTTTGCATTTGTGAATACTTCAAATTCGATGCTCCTTCCAATGAAATGATATCAGTAAGTAAATTTGCCTAAATTCAGCTATAATTCTTCATTAACTATTATTAGAAATAATTTCCTAGGCTCTTTCCTGAGCTGTCTTCTAAATTTTTTTACTAACAAAACCATAAGTTTATAAGACAGTCCATTCTTACCTGGCGGTCAGACCACAGCATCATTACTATAGACTTCATTTATATGCTTTCCATTCGCCTTCTCCTTCAAATTGCATTGCTACAGAGACAAAAAAGTAGTAAATCAAAAGTTTCAATTAGATTTTCCGCTTGTTAGTCGTGCAACAGCAAATATACAAATATACTTAGGCTTTGTAAACAACCAAAAATTAATACAAAAATGTCATAAATTTTAAAATGTTAGGTAATGAATTTTGTACGCACTCGCGATAAGCGTGAAATCGTTTATTAAGTTTCGTATGTTTACTGCTGGGGTGGATGGGGTAGGCGGAAAGGAGCGAGCGCCCCGATTGCTAGCTAACCAATTTTGCCCCGGCGTAGCGCATTATGACAAGGGAGTTCGAAATCTGCGCCAAGCGGCGGCAACACCTGTCAATGTTCACGCCCAATCACACACACCAATGCACTTTGGCGCTTGAGCGTAAAATCATCAAACCAACTTTTTGCTAAGATGTTTGTGAGCTCATAAAGCGGATAATTACGACTACGTGAGGCTGACATCATTCCCCCCCTTGCTAGCCAATTCAGTTGCCTACGTTACGACTGGAGTAACATAAAAAAAAAAAAATTAATTAAAACAATTAGCAACGTTAAATTTCACGCAATTAAATTTTATGCGCTTACATTTTTGTAAACTACTAAAACAACAGCTTTCGTACGATTGTAGGCGTGGGGTGATTGCTTGTGCGTTGGCCAGAAGTGTGGCAGGTCACAGCACAGCACACATATTTCATGGAAATGACCACAGTGGTAAGCGTGGTGGTGGTGTGACTGACGTGTTGCACTGTGGGACATGTATGGCAGATATTTGTTGTTTTGAAGTCTTAATTGTTTTATATTATCGATACATTTTTTTCCCCCAAAAGATAGCAATCTCCTCCGAATTCGATTAATTGCATATACTTAAAAAAAATTCTCAAAACTAAAACAGGATCCACTGAATCGCAGACAAATATCATTATTGGCGATACTAAGATTTTACAAGTGTAATACCCAAATTAAGTTAAAATTGTTGAATATAATTGCTGTAAGGGCATAAAATAACAAAAAATTTTTGAATCAAAATAATTTTAGTCGCATTTTTTAAGGCACTTATTTACAGTCCCATTGCTGAGAATTTCTTAGGTTATTTATGAAATTCTCTGAATGAAACGATTATCAATGCAGTTCGAATTCCATATTTTTTTGATTCCGTCGCTCTTTATTAGTAGAAATTGGAAAACAAAAGCTTATAGCCCTATAACCAAGAAATGACTAAACTAGCCGAATCTACAATAACAATGATTTGGTAGGTACAAAAGCTTGATACTAATTAAAGAAATAGTAAGCACATTTTGAGTTCTTTTGTGCTTTTTTAAGTAGCTAAACCTAATTAGTGTCAAACAAAAAGTTTTTATTTATATAGCATTCGCCTTCAATTCGGTCTTAGTTTGGCTTTCTACAGTCTATGAAATGATCTTATATGGAAAGATGTCGATCTTCGAGACTTTTTTTTCAAAATGAGTTACTTTTTAAATTTTTCTATATTTATATTCTTTCTACATTCGACTGAACTAAATCACTGTATTTTCTGAGCGGAGTAAAATTGCCCAAAGTGATGTTTAAAAATGTTTTGTGAGAGAAACTCCAAATGCGAAATACGTTGTCGAGTGAAATAAAATTGAGAAAACATTAAAAAATTAATTACTTTTTCTCGTGTGGGTGTGTGTGTGTGTGTGTCTTGCAGTAAATGCATTACAGGACTGTTAAACAAATTCAAGGGTGGGTTGAAGAAAGACACCAATGACGCAGTCATGTCCATCCTTATACAAATATTTAAGTGTGTCAATGTTGCAACTTGCAAGGTAATGTTTGCAAACGAAGAAAAGTATTTAGGTACATGTTCTTCGTATATCTACTTATTCATTTAGGTAACACATACAAATTCTTATGAAGAGATGAATGGTTCGCGCGATGCAAACGCTTTCCAACGACTTACCTCCTGCTTGGCCTGCCATTGCTTCATGGCCGACTTGTATTTCTCGAATTCATTACACCAATGCGAGTAAATTTTCTGGTAATCGTTTTTCTTCGAAGGCGGCGTACATCTGTAAGAAAAATAAGGAAAAAGAGAGCGTAAATTGAAAAGGCGCAGAAAGAAAGGAGTGAGGAAATACAATTTTANCTGATGCAAAGACGCAAAATGTGCAAGTCAGCAGAGCGCCGGGATGAAGGCGTGGTAATGCCACATACAAATATCCGCTTTGGGTACCCCGTTGCACGAGTGTAGCGAGCGCGCAACCGAAAGCGTTGCGAATTGCGGACAGCCGTGCGAATGGTAAGCGCGTGAGGGAAAAAGATTAAAATTGCGAGCGGCGGCGCGTAACTTAAAGCGAGAAAAGTAGGTACAGTGTATGGTAAGTAGGTAGTGAATGGTGAATAGCAAATGTTTTGAATGTTATCGCATTCGACGCTCGATCGTTGAGCATATTGGAAAGGAAACGGAAATTAAGTGCTCGGAAGGATGGGCGTTCATAATTGCGAGGAAAAACGTATGAATGTATGTATGTATGCTGCAAGCAAGGGTGTGGGTAGCTGAGTAAACGAACAAATAAATCGTAAATGAAAGCACAAAATGGAAAACGAAAATGAAAACTGGAAATTGTAATGAAAATGAAAGCACCAACAAATAGCAGCTTGTCACAAACGTAAAATTGAATTTTAATTAAAGCTTAAAACCGGGATGATGAGCGCAATGTGTGCACACCGGTATATGTGTGGTTGTGTGCGTGTGACTCAGACATTGAAATGTCGTTTATTTGTTGTTAACGCTAAAGCGCCAGAAAATTTTACCTATAAATGCTTTCAAATATATATATAAGTAAAAGCACCCAACGGCGCCTTAAGGTATGCTACTAAAGGCGTCACAGCATGCTTTAACTTGCACACCTGCAAACATTTACGTCCTGTAGTGATTTTAATAATAAACAGTGCCTTCTGTTTTTGCCCGTTGTACTTTGCTTTCGTTGCTGTGGCAACACGCGTACTTGGCAAATCATAAATAAATTAATTTATTTAAATTTCAGTTAAAATTTCGCTGAGATAAGTTAAAGTTGCTGTTCTAATATTGCATTGCAAACAAATGAAATTGTTTTTCCAGTGAAAGCAGCTGCTCCTTCTTCATTGCGGTATTTGGTTTATATTTTATTTTTTATTTTTTGCAACCACTGACTCACCTGTGCGCATCGACATTGACGCTATAACTGCACAGCAGCGTGCCATCCAGGTAACTGTCATATCGTCCGCCATCGCCTTCATTCACCGATATAATCACCAAACCACCCTCTGAGGTTTCAATGTACTTTGCGGGACTGTAAATTATTTCATAGCTGCAATGAAAGTTAGAAGTTAGTTCTAAATTTTAGTTTTCCAATAGGAAATTTATTCGCATTTATGTTTGACATTCGCTGACATTTATAGCCTAAACTTTTATTGTTCTCGATTTTAATGGAAATTTATGTATACAGTCGAAGATGTGGCATTTTATTGGTTGAAATTTTCATATCAACATTGTGGGCGCATTGTACTGCGAAAAGCAGTTTCTGCACTGCCAAAAATATTTAACGAAAAATATTTATATTGAATTTTATTGGACACTTTCGGGAGTTTCTCTTACCACTGCAGTGGAATATTATATTAAAATATCGGTTTTTGAAATTAAAAAATAGAAGAGTCCAACTAAAGCTTATGCTGCTGAACTGCAGTTCGAAGTGAAATTACACAACATTCTTTATGTTTTGGGAATACCTGAACCAGAGGAAGCGGTGTAAGCGTAAAGCCTACTACGTTCATTATGGTTCTCTTCCGAAAGATGAACTTAATCTCCCATTCAGATATTTTTACCGCATGCTGTCATACTCACATCAGCGGATGAAGATAGATATTTGGTTATTGGTGAGAAATATCTTCAAACAAAAGTCTAAACGCTGAATAAATATCAAGCAACGCCCTCCTCACCCATGAAAATCTAATAGTAATAATAACATTTTGGTGCTTGCCCTTTTTCTTAGTGCTTGGACGAGCTTCTTCTCCAATATGTGGTGCACCTCCTGATGCTATAACACAAATGGAGGGATCTACCGTTTTAAGCCACCTGAGAACGGCAAATTAATGTTCTGAGAAGCTTTTCTAAGAAGAAACACACTCGGAGGCAACTGCCCCGACGAAATGGTAGAACGCATCTCTAACCACTCAGCCACAGCGGCCGCCATGAATGTACACAGTAGTAATTCATTCAGAGGTCCCTACAGAAAATTACCACGCAATGAGCGGCAAAGCGGTGAGCGGCTGAGCGGTGAGCGACTTAAAATGTAAACATATGAAATACTATTGAAGGGGCCACGCAATAAGCGGCTTTTCTATCGAAACTGACTAAGAGTCGAGATTGGCGCCGACGTGTTTATGATAATCGAAGAACCTAATATTTCCTCGATCTATGTCGACTTTTAAAGTCTTAGAGCAGCAATTGAATGCTACCTAACTTCAACGAGAATCAGGGTGCGTGGACACAGATACAGCCCAGATAACTGCGGGGCAGATCAATTAGCAAGTTTTTGCTTTTAGCAATATCATTGTGCTTTGAACCGCGATTTGCTAGCAAGGAAAAGTGGAAAAATCAACAGAGTCTAAGCGTGTTCCGTTTCAGATTTAACCACAGACTGTGGCTCAAATAGAAAACCAAATTTCTACGAAAGAAGTTCCAGCAACCTCATTAATGAGGAAGGCCCACAACTCAAGATGGAAACAATGCGTGTTCTTTGCATGATTGGCATATATGTATGTATGCCAGAAGAATGGGCTTTCCATCGATCAGCTAAAGAAAACCGAAACTGTCGGTAAAAAGGAAAAATTCATTTTATTATCAACTGTTACCAATCAGAAGCTTAAAAATATTTATATTTCACAACCAAGCTTTGAATTTTGCAGTGTACTTTTTTAGCGCAATCATTAGAAAGACAATATAAATTTCAATTCCCTTCGCCCTTTCCCACACCAAAACTTCAGACAACTGGCGTAGGAATGCGTGCTGACAGTGCAGCGTCTAACGAAAAGCTCTCGTGCGTACATACACATACATACATACATATACACCCTTCGCGATAATATTTACTCGCAACTTGCATCCTCTGAATTTTCCTAATTTCAGTCATAGAAATCAATTTTTACTTCTGCCAACATCGTGATTCAAAACTATGTTGCTCAGCATTAGCTTAGTTGTGTCAACAAACTTCACTCAACTTCTGGAGCGTGTACGCGTCCTTTGCTGCTTTGGAATGCGTACACCTCCATTTCCGCACAGCACACAAAGCATTTGCGCATTCGAATAGACACAAATAACTATGAAAGTAAAAAATACTTCGGAAAAGTGAAAAAAAAACATTTAAAATTGAAAACTTTTCATTTCTTCGATGAATTGGCGAATCCCTTGCGTTTCCAATGCCATTGTACAGGCAATGCGATGGCAACTTAGATAAAAAGTTTTTCCATCAAATGAAACCATAACCTTAAAATATCTAAAAACGTCTTCCGAGTGTTGCTAATGGCAGGGGGAAAGCGTCTTAACCACATAAAAATGTTCACTCGCTGTGCTTTTCCTCTTTGCGAAAGCAAAAAATGCGTCTAGCCAGCGACGGCGGCGGCAGCTGCAAGGCAAATAAGCGTAAACGCCAAAAAGCAGACTTCAGCAATTTGAAGTGTCAATTTACCGCTGCGTCGCGGGATAGTGAAAGGGCGATTTTTTCTACAGGATTTTTATTTTTTTTTATTTTTTGCTTTATTCATTCCTACTATTTTTGCTTCGCTTCGGTTGGATGCCTTCGGTTTGTGGCTATTGGCTGACTTTCGCTGGGAGTTTCGAAGTTAAATTCGTCGCTGATTTTATTACATATTTGCTTTCAATGCTGATTTCCATTACGCCGGATCTCCGCCTCACACGTCGAGATGCTTATACGCGCTCGCGTATATATCGCTTTCAATAGCCCATCAAGAAGTTGAATTATCGCGAGCTTCCGCACCGAGGGGTGTTCCAAACAAAGTAAATTCTACCATTCGAGCCAGTGATGAGCACCCAAAAAAAGACGTTTACGTTATTTCAATTGCGCTGCAATGTTTGTGTTTATTGGATTGTGCTTGTCACACAGACGCACGCACGTCTTTTCCCGCTGATGATGATGTACCGCTGTGTGAAACAGCTGTTGTCTCCAAGGACCCATTTACCAAAGCCATTTCTAAGTACTTTTTTCGCGTTAAGAATATTTATAATACACATATTTCCATGTTGCATACTTTATAGCCTGCCAACAAATAAACAGGTAGATAGATACATACGAACCACTTTGCTGTCAGCTAACTTTTTCATTGATAAACTCAATTTAAAATTACTGAAAAAAGTACGAGGGTTGCACAGTGTATTAGTGTGGCATATCTGCGCGGTGTGAGGCGTATTGCATACGCTGAGTCCAATATGTCTTACCATTTGCCAGCGAATTAAAAGAATATGAAAAATTTCTAAACAGTTGTTGCGATTATTAAAAAGTTATGAGTGCGCACAAATGTTGGGAAAGTGCGTTAAGCTTTTTTTTGTTGCATGAAAATTTACAGGGTGACAATTTGTATCTCTTGCACGAAAGGGGATGGCGCTGCGCGGCGATGGTGTCAATTACAAACTACGCCCTTTATGCATTTTTAATGGCAACAACTGCTGCTGACGCACGAAATTTACATTTTACAGCGCGTAACTCCAGCGAGCTTATTTCGATAGAGCTATTTGAAACCTAATTTGATAAAGTTTTGAGTTTTAAAGTAAACCAATGAACTTAAAAGTTTTTGGCTATTTAAATATTTATTTATATGTTCGTAAGTTCTTACGAATTTTCGTTTCAATGGAAAATTTCTCAATTAAACTGAAATTAAAGTGGAGATGCTATAATGTTCCATCCAAAAATTTATTACGTATGTATATATATTTTATGGATTTATGAGGTCAAGAATTGTGTTAACTTAAAGTTTTCTCAAAAATTGTATCGCCTTCAAATAAAAATGGTGACAAACGGTTAAAGGAAACCACAGCCACAAAAAGAATGAAGTGGCCTGCAGTTTAAGTATGCTGGACGAACACTTGCCCTAGAGGAAATGCCAGTGGATTTCACCTACATCTCTGGCATTGTGAAAGACGAGAAAAATTAATGCATTACCTTATTAAAATTTAATGAGTTACAAAAGTGCACACGGAAAATTTTTGTAGAAATCCTAAAAAAAAGATTTAAAATTTTTGGGTGCGAATGTTAAAGTTTACTGAATTTTCATAATTTGTGTACGAAGCTTGAAATGTGGATTTATGTGGCGCTGGTTAGGTAAAGTGCTAAACTTTTATAAAAAAATAAAATACAAACATTAAATAAACAAAAGAAAAATACCCAAAACTAGACAAAATGTCAATTGGCTTAATCAGGGGACCACAAGTGTATTCCGATTCTACAAAATTTAACTAAACATAATTTGATATGGATATCAAAAAAAGCTACTTTTGCGAATTTTAACCCAGAAATGTTTTCCTTGAGGGTAGCCAAGTGTTTTTAATCCCGATTTATATCGTAATAAATCCAACGAGCATTTTTTGTATGTATGTATGTATGTACATATGTATACACAGTACATTTTCACTCAAAATATGAACTTTTAAACCTAGCATATTTCTCAATCGGAGAGCAAAAAATTGGCTTCCAAAATATATTTTTTATAGAATTCTGAGATACTGAGTCGGCTAAAATATTGACTAAATTTTTGTTAACTAACATTACCTCTTTTTTCTAAGTTTTTGTTTTCTCTTTGTTTCACTGAGGGAGGTACTCCTCTTTTTTCGACATAATTTGTATGAGAAGGGGTGTGGGATAAGCGTTATGATAAATAACAAATTCCCTTAACATTCTTAAATAAAAAAATATTGTTAAATCAAAGCTGGATATCCAATTGACCATTATTTTATACCCAAACCTTGAAAACTTCAAGAATACATTCTGAAGAAATTTCGGTCAAACTGGCATAGGAAACATAAACAAACAGATATGCGACAAAGTTATTAGGAATCAGAGAAAAATATCTGCAGGGTATTTAATTGCAATATTTGAATAATTTTTTCCGAAGAAATACGATAATGTCCAGGACAAGTTTTATTCTAGTGAGGAGTCCTCCTTTTACGGCTAACCTGAATACATTCTGTTTAGAAGCCCCAAGCAAAATTAACATTACTTAATCCTTATACCAGAAGTTATTTTGGAACTTTTATAATAAATAAATTTTATAGCAATAACTCCAGAAATATTCATACCTAAGTACATTGATTCTTCTACTGAATTTCAGTTACTTTCTTTTTGTTGACTTAAACTTAAAATACCTACTGCATATGAATAACAAAACAAAATTTTGTGTCTACAAACTTACCGTCCTCGCTCCGTTGAATGGTGATACCAACGCACCGACTTCTGCCGCAGCACCTCAGGGATTTTGACGAAACACGACAGATGCAGTGTCTGGCCGTACGAGGCGGTGATGCGTTTTTTCAAAACGCTCGTGTCACAAATACCGGAAGTTTCATTGGCAACATCCTGCGGCAAATGAAGGCAAACGAAAATGTAAAAAAAAGATAAAAAATCAATGTTATTATGCTCTAAGGTAAAAGTGTAAAAATTTGTGTGTTTTACGAAAAAATCGAAATGCAAAACACAAAAAAAAATACTGAAAAAGATAATGAAAATGATTGAAATGATTGAGTGAAAGCATGAATGTAACAAAGTGTAAAAGTGTCAAGAGAAATGTTGATTTAAGCATTGAATGGCATATTTGCCTTGACACCAACAGCAGCGGTCGCAATCAATCGCTTTCCAGCTCACACTCACACACACACACACACACACACAAACTACAAACGTATTATTTCGCTTCACTTCACACACTCACCTGCAGCAGTCCCAGCTGGTATGGCTTGCAGGTGCTCGCGTCCTTGTCCCAGCCGCAATACGGATCGGCCACACAGCGGAAACACGAATCGTAGCGGCGGGCGCACATCGCCAAATCGATTTGCTTCACATTGTGATCCGTAGCCAAGTACAATGAGCCCGTCTTCTGACTCAAACCCATCTCGCGTATTGGCTCATTGTAGGCCACCTCCAGCACGTCGAGCAGATTGGAGAAGCGTTGACCGTAGCGTATGAATTGCACGATTTTGTAGATGAGGCCGGTGCTGGTGCCAACGAAATACACCAGATACTCTTGATTTAGTTTGTCGATGCGAATTCTGTTGTAGATAGCCGTGGAAGAACGGAGAGAGGGAGAGGGAGGGAGTGCGAGAAGAAGAAGAAATTAAAACAGGTGATAAATTTGTTAAAAAGTGTTGCAGTTAAAACAAAAAAAAAAAACGAGGAACATTATGGATTTTTTTTTTTAATTTTTATTATTTTTTATGGTTTATGGCGCTGTTGTTGTAACACTTGATTGTTTTTGCTTTTGCACACTTTTGCATGTTGCTGCATAATTAAAATGTTCCGCCCAAATTATCATCATGCAGTGGTGATAAATTTTGGCTTTGACCCAGTAGCGGTAAAAAAGCTGTAGCCACACTTGAAATTTGCGAGCTGCTTTATTTTGGGGGTTAATGTGAATTATTTCTGTCGCAGTGCTTTAATAAAATGGCTGCAATAACTGCAATAATAATAAACACACAAAAAATATCGTAAATTTCTGAGGTGATGTCAGTCTGTGTGAAAAACTTTTAGTCCTTTCGAACAAATACAACCCAAGACTCAATACCAATGTCTTCACTGTCGGAACGCTGTTAAGGCTTTGGAGGTATTTTTTTTTTTTTATTCAACGTGAGACTTCCATACAAGTTCATTATTAAAGATTACACCTTAATAGTACTTTACTTGGGGGAAAATTTGATTAGTGACTGCGTTAGAGGCAGGAGGAGCAAGGCCGTCTAACCACTGTAAGCAGTGTTAGGGCCTGTCATCTGCATAGACCTGGGCGTAGGTATTAGAACCGTTAAGTTTGACCAGCAGGGAATCAATTAACAAGCACCAGTGCAAGAGAGAAAGCACACCGCCCTGAAGACATTCCCCATTAACTCCTTCTGTATAATCCTAACGATACTCTACGCGAACCCGATTTACCAGCACAGCATCTACTCCACGACTTAAAGCCGAGTTTCACACGCTATCGAAGGCGGCATTGCCATAAGCACCCTCAACGTCTACAAAAATGCCCAAGGCCAATTCTTTCTTAGTGATTGCGTTGCTAATTCTGGCAACCATAACTGTTTTAGGGTATCAAAGTGTATTTTCGAATGTTGAAATTAGCAGTACTTAGTAGTAGTTATACTACTTAATGGTGTTTTATCGCTCCACTATAAAATTTTACCTGCGACGGCTACGATGCGACAAAGCTAGTACCTTATTGTAAATCGTTGAATAATGGCTTTAGCTCACCAATGAGTTTAAATGTTATGCAATGGCTTTAAACACTACGGGATGGATGTTTTAAAATGTTCACAAATTCTGCTCAAATTATGCCTTATGACATCATTCCCACCACAACTTTCAGCTTAGCACCAAAAAGAGGGATAGTACTGTTCGGAGGCAAAGTATATAAGGCAAACTACTTACGTTTGTGTGTTTATAAATATTTATTAATGTACAGTTGTATGAACATACATACATATCTACTTTATGCTCAAAAACTTTTTTGAACGCCGCAAGAAAGAGCTTTTTCCACAATGTTAGTTCTTCGACTTAAGTTGCATTTGTTCTTTCTTTTATTTTACTTCTTATTTATTATTTTTCAAGTATTTTTCCATTTTTCACATTCTGTGCCACTACTTTTCGCGGAAAATACGTCTTTCTACAGCTGCTCGTAATGTGGTACATTTATTTAAAAAAAACATGAATAGTTATTTTGCTCGCTAACTCCATAACAACAACAAGAAAATAACAAGTATTACTGCCAGCTTACTTAGTTGCCTGCGGATAACCGCACAGAAAATGTTGACAACCAGAATTGTGGCAAGTTAGCAAATGATTTAAAAAGTTAAAAAAAAAAAGAAATACCGAAAAAAGGGCAGAGCACAAAATAATAGTATGGCAACTACTCGTAGCAGTTGGCAATGCCATTAACACCATTACTAACATTACAAGCAATTTTTGGCAGCGTCAAAGTCATTGCACGGTCTTTCATTTTACTCATACGCCATGTCGAGCACCAAAAAAAAATAAAAAATAAATAAATAGAAACTCATCGCAGTGGGATTATGTGCTTGCATACTTACATAAGTACACAAAGCACTTTTTAAAAGGTTTTCCGTTTGTTTTTTTTAGTATTTTTGAGCAACAACAACAGTGCATCCAAAATGTATTTTCAATTCTCATAAATAAATTAACTTTCGTTTTGTGTTTTCCTTTTTATAATTTTTACTTACCTATCTACCACCAACTTGGTGAGTATGATATCCCTTTTATAAAATACTGGATTGCCGAATTCATGATCGACCGCCTTGTCCATTAGCGGATGTTTGCGTATGAAATTTAACACCGAATCTGGCAGCGCTGCTGTATCGTTGGTGCATGTGCCCGGTCTGGGTTCGGGCACTTTCGAATTGAGTACCGGCAGCCAAGCTGAGTTTGAGGTTGCTTGCTCTTTGAATTTGCCTGCAAGAGAGAGAGAGAGTGGGAAAGGATGCAAAAATGTTTATTTAAAATATTCACACACTTGTTTGATGGGAAGACAATTAAAAATATATATGTATCTGTGTTTATTAAGTTTGTAGATGGCAAATCTGGCAATTTTTTATACAACCGATTGGCAAAGTGAGCGAAGTTATTAAATGTTTTGTATTATTAGCTAGGTGTTCATATTTATTTTTAGGTCTTTAGTATTTTATTCAAAATCTGCTAAGTTTGCTTATTTATTGGGCCTGCCCCTGTAGTTTTTGATTTTTTAAATTTAAAATAATTTTAATGTCCGCGTTTATGAAGCTCAACTCACTGTTTCACAAATTTAAAAAAAAAATTTGGTTTTTTGTTGTTGCAATATTCCACTCTTAGAATTGTAGCATTTTTAATTAATTACTGTTATAACATGAATCAGTTTTCATAAAGTTGAGAATTGGCAACAATGCCAAATTGTCGGCAAGAAATAAAAGCAATTAAATCAACTTTTTGAATAAGTGCATTACTATTTTTGCAATGAATTTAAAAATTTTCCATTGCACTCGTTTTGGTTTTATCATTTATTACATTCGACAAGAAACATTTTTTTTTTTAGTTCCATTGAGTCCAAGATGAATTTGCAAAACAAATCGGTATGAAAATGCTAAAAAAAATAATATAGCAGCAATGAGAATCCACTGGTCAATACCAGAGAGAGAGATTTCTTTCTTACTTTTAAAGTAACTAGTGTTCGCCCAGCGGTTGAAATTCAACCTTTTAAATTAAGGGGAGCTGAGATGGGCTGAGCTGAGCCGAGTTGAGTTAATTGTGTTGAATTGAGGTGAAATACGTTTCACACCATAGCAGAATATAACATAAAATAACATAACAACATCACATAACAACACCACATAACACAACTCAACACAACATAATATAACTTATCATAACATAAGATAACATAACATAACATGACATAACTTGACATAACATGATATAACATAACACGGCATAACACAACGTAACATAACATTAAATAAGATAAACTATCATAACTTAACGTAACATAACATGACATAACATAGCATAGCATAGCATAACATGACGTAACATGACATAACATAACATAACATAAGATAACATAACATAACATAAAATAACATAACATAGCATAACATTACGTAACATAGCAAAACATAACGTTACGTAACACAACATAACAACATAAAACCACTTAACATGTCATTCTTCAATTATATCTCTTTCTTTTTCTGTCTTTGTCTCTACCTTTATCTATAGATATTTTTTATATCTTTATCTTTTAATTTTTATATTTATCATTTCCTTGA